TGAAGAACAGCAAAACAGGCAGTCTCCCGGTGAGCGAGATCTACAGCTTCATGAAGGAGCACTTCCCCTACTTCAAGGTACGCATACACCTGCAAGGTGGAAGTAGAACATCCCAAATACTTTGTTCGTGGCTTGTTTCACTAACATCCTTCTGCGGCTTTCAGACAGCCCCCGATGGCTGGAAGAACTCTGTGCGCCACAACCTGTCACTGAATAAATGTTTTGAGAAGGTGGAGAACAAGATGAGCGGCACCTCTCGGAAAGGGTGCCTGTGGGCTCTCAATCCTGCCAAGATCGACAAGATGGAAGAGGAGATGCAGAAGTGGAAGCGGAAGGACTTGGCTGCTATCCACAGGAGCATGGCTAACCCAGGTAGGGCTTATATTGCACTTTTGCTACATGTACGAGAGGCAAGGGGGGAAAAGGGCTCAAATCTCAAAGTCTCAAAAAAAAGTGTGGCTCTGGTCGCTTATGAAATGCTTTGGCAGGGCCCTGCTTGAACAAACGGGTTAAACTTTCTCATTTCTTCCTTGGCAATGGGCATTGCTGGTGCAGAGGAGCTGGACAAGCTGATCACCGACAGACCCGAGAGCTGCAGGCGGCCCAGCAAGCAGGCGGAGGCTGAGGTCTCCACCCTGAACCACATGGCAGCAGCTCAAGGCCGAATCCCCATCTCCCAGCTGCAGCCTCAGCCCATCATGACGCTCTCGCTGCAGTCCATCCCCCTGCACCACCAGATCCAGACCCAGGCTCGCATCGCCCCCGACTCGCCAGCACCCGCGCAAACGCCTCCTCTCCACACTCTGCCGGACGTGAGCCCCAGCCCTCTTCCTCACCATCCTGTGGGACGCGCGCCTCCGGACTTCCTGAACGTGACGGCAGACATGAACACGGAGGTGGATGCTCTCGACCCAAGCATTATGGATTTTGCATTGCAAGGTACGGGAGAAGGAAACTGGGGTAGGGGACAGCGTGGTTTACGGGGTTACACAGTCACTGAATATATAACCAGGGTCCTCAGCAGGATGCTCCGGGGTGGGATATAACCAAGATGCTGGCCTCTGCAGCGTGATGTCCCTGGCGCAGTTCTGCCCCGTGCTGGATGGGACAGTGACCTGCCGTTATGGTGCGAGTGCAGAGGCTGCAGCAGCTGGAGGCAGGGACATCCAGGCAGCTGGATCTGCCACACCACAGCTCTGCTCCTGCCTTGCTGTTCCCTTTCTGAGAAAGGAGAACATCCCCGGCTGATGGGGATGCCCAGTGCAGCCGTTGGGTTTCTGGTTAGCACATGGCAGACAGACGCTGCCCGGAAAGGTCCAGAATCCTGCTGGAAACAGGGGATTTGGGGGAACAGACACTCTTACTGCCTTTGTGTTACAAATGATGCCGTCTGCACGCAGCACTGGTCCTGAACAGGGGGTAAAGCCCTTTAGATATGGACCAACCCCACACCCAGTGCCCAGGTGGGTTGGATGTGTTGCTGTGACCAGAATTTCATCTTTTCAAGGTAACATATGGGAGGAAATGAAGGACGACAGCTTCAGCCTTGACACCCTGGGTGCCTTCAGCAACTCCCCGCTGCACCTCTCAGACTGTGATCTGGGCACCCCCGGCCTCACGCCCGTCTCCAGCAGCAGCGATCACTCCTTCTCAGACGTGCAGGTCACCGGCCTCTACACCACCTACCCGGCGCTGGACAACATGGCAGCAGCTCAGTACATGAACCCCCAGGGCAACAAACCCATCGCTCTGCTCTGAGGTTTGCACCATTCCACGGACCCAGGGCCCGTTCCTCCCAACCGTTAAAATCTGACCCGAAAGCAATAAAAGAGCTCCTCCTGCAGACGCTTGGAACGTGTTGGCGATCACCGGGACGCAGCACATGATGCCAAAATAAATCAAACTGTTTCTAGAAGAACCACTTTCACCCGTGGCAAGCCTGAAGAAGGGCACGGACACTCGTGTTGTAGGACTGCTGAGCTCTCAAGAAGGACCTGGAGGACATCACTCAGCAGGACCTTTCACTAGAACATAACTGAGCTAAAAAATAGTCCCGTTAAGGCAAATAGATGTAATCAACACTGTGACCTGGACTTACATACAGACGCTGTTTGGTCGCCACCTACACAGAAGCCAAAACAAGTCAATGGGCTGGTCAGCACCAAGCTGGAGTCCAAACGGGTTGATCATGTACCCTGTATGTATTTTTTAAATAAATTGGCAAAAAACTATTGCCATTGAACAAAGACCCACACAGTTCCTGGAGCCACTGGCACCACTAACGCTTTTCTGATGTAATTATGGTTAATTTATCGCTATGAGTTAGGAAAAAAGGAGCAAAAATATTAAAAATGAAAAATCAAACTCATAGCAGCCAACTCTTACATCTCCATTTAAAAACAAAGTCCTTACGCCATGAAGGAAGTGGTACTACTGAATTATTAAACTGATCACTGGCTAGAAGATTTTAGGAAATACGCCTATTTTTAGCATTTTTTAAAAATATATTAGATTTGTTTAGAGTCGTGTATTGTGTTTCTGTCTGTTCTTGTGCTAGTCAGTATTACTATTTGTAAATTTATTTATATTTATTGTTATGAAAAGAAATTATGTAAACTGAGCACTGTTCAATTTTTTAAAATGCTGCAGCAACCTGTTTCATGTCCACTAAATTATTCATAAGCAAAACCGCAACCATTCCAATCACCGTCCTTACACTACACCTCTTTGAAATAAGCACTTTTGATACTGTGAAACTCATGTTTTTTATTAAAAATTCAGAGACCAAATATAGCAACTGCACCACGCCAACTCATGATAGCCTTTCTTTCCTAATTAACCAAGTCAAATTAATTCTAATGGAGTTTTTAAATTTTCAAACCCTGCTTTGTACTTGGTAACATACGTTGCAAAAAATGTGGTGAAACATCTCCAGCCTACGTCCCTCTACTAAAATCCCCGAGGGTGCAGGACGCTGCTGGGAAGATCCGGGGCTGGAAAGTGTCCGTGCCTGGATCCTCCCTGGTGCGCACGTCCACGGCAACCTCTTCCGAACGGGCACCATGTTCCATGTCATAATTTATTGTTCAAGAACAAATGTGATTAACGATTGTTTGCTGTGACTGGCGTCATCTATGATGTCTTCATGTTTTTTTAAATAAATACTTCTTAGCACTAAGCCTGGGTTGTTGTGGATATGCTGCACTGTGACTGCTCTGGAGGCTGGCGTGCTCTGGCACACGGGATCCTCCAGCTCCGCGTTAGTAATTCCGAGGCATCTGCTGATGGAGATCCAGCCCAGCCAGGAAATAGTTTCGTACAACTTATGGCTGTTGATAAACGGAGAAAGCTCAGAGGTGTCCGCCTGCAGCCGCAGTGTCTGAGCATGCTGAGGCGCTGGCTCCTCTCTTGCATCTCAGACTGGTGCCTTTCCCTGCCACTGCTAACAGGCTCCATCGCCTTCACAGACGTGACACCGTGTCCAGCTCAAGGCTCGGTCCCTGGCTCAGATCCTCCAGGAGAAGAAGGGTTTACAGGTATTTACCGGATGAATTATTTTCCCATTCTGTCAACCTGGTCCTGAAAATCCCTGTGCCTGAGCGTGGGGAAGGGCTCTGGGGCACGGCTGCGACGAGCTGCTCTGGACCGCAGCGGTTTCTGTGCCGCAGGGAGGGGGCTGCACAGCCCCAGAGCACCGGCCCCTGCTCAGATCCACCGCGTTCATACAACGACAAAAGAAACAGAGCCCAGGAAACCTCCTCAAGAACCCTGCTCGCTTTATTGCTGCAGCTTGGCTCCCGTAGGGCGAGCGCCAGCACCCCCTCACACACCCGCATGGCCAGCGGAAAGCACACGTTCCCGTTTCCCCTCCATGAACCCAGGCGGTTAAAGGCTCCCCGAGGAGCGAGGTGCAGGTCCGGGCAGATGGAGAGCTCACCCCAGCTCCTGTGCTCCAGCCGATCACTGGGGCAGCAGCACCCGGAGCCGTGTCCTCCCTCCTCTCCCAGCTGAAAACACCCGAAGGGGCTGCGGCAGGAGCCAGGAGGGACACGAGACGGGCAAGAGGAAGAGCCGGGGCAGAGTGCAGGGGATCCGCTGATGTTCCCGCTGCAGCAGCTCCGGGACGGCTGGCTGGGCGGGCACTGTCGGGGC